AAATTTTCTATGATGTGGTATTTCATTGCCATGATGTAAAGAGTATGCTAAAGATAAAAGAAATAATAGCATTAAGGAAATGAAAATTAAAAAGAATTAAAAATGAAATCAAGGTAATGCTTAATATCTACTTATATAGCCTTTTATTTGAATATTTATAAAAATTCTATTTAAAAAAAATATGTACATGTATTATAGTACCACACATGCTTTTAAAAAAAATCAAGTTTAAATTTCTAAAATTAACTACAATATAACAATTCTGACAATGTATGTCTAATTTAAATAAAAAAATCTTAACTTACAAATCTTCTTGGAGTCCTTAGACTTCTTAGACACTTTAAATTCCCTGAATATTTTTGAATTCAACATTTGAAGTTCCAATGTGTATCTCAAAACTCTTAATTGGTTAGTTCAATAGACCATTCTTGATATTCCATTCTTGGTAAGACAATCTCAATTGTACATTCTCGGTAAGACAATCCTGACTACATTGTAGCTTTGTGTAGACTATGGACTATGGGTAGAGTTTTTGAAGCTCTATTGCCTACTTCTTGCTCTTCTTGATTTCTTACATTATTTCTAATATGAAGTACCAAAAGAAAATTAAACTTCGTCAAAGGTGATCGAAAGATCATGTTCTACAAAACAACCTTATACATACACTCAACTCATAAAGAACAATTCAAGAGTACCAAGCTCTAATACCATGTGATAAAATATGAAGAAGTATATTACTAGAATAGATGTAAAAATATGTGAAGAAAATAGAACTAAATTTTTTTTGTCAAAATGAGCTTTTAATTTGAATTCTTATACTACTAGTTCAATATCTAACCACATAGAGTTTTTAGTGTTAATATACAAAGAACTAGCTTAGTCAACAATGTCCAATGAACATATAGATACTTGTTTTATTAGACCACATGACGACTTACTAGGCTATGAAAACTAAATGGTATTACCACCAATTAATGATTGCTACAACTTATCAATCAACAAAGCAATGTCAACCGCCATTTTATATTATGTCTAATAGGAGTTACATACTCTATTAACATTTTGTTGTCAAGTGTAACAATTAACAATTATTGTCCTATTTAAAAAATTTATCAATTATATTTTAATATTTTTAGAATTCTATAGGAACAACTATAATCTTTAAAAGTGTAAAATTAAAAATAAAACTTGTATAGACTTAATATTATATAATTCAAGTTTCTTAAAAAAATTTAAAACTTTAAAATAAAAAATAAAACATATTTGTATAGTAATGTTTTCAAAATTTATCCTAATCTTGTCATTTAATCTTTTAGTAGTGATAAAAATAAAATATTTTAAATAGATTGATTATCTTGTCGTATTGAATTTTTTTAATTTATCTAAAAAATAGTAAAATAAGAAGCATTTCTTATACCTAAAAAAATAAAATACTATATATTTAAAATAAATAATGATACAAGCTACAAAAGAAGGATTTTTTTATTACCAAGTATACAATATATATCTCTTCTTTGAATGAAGCTCATAATTATATTCTAATATATTGTAAGAACTTTGAAGACATGTTGTCATGGATATACATATATACTCCAATAATTAATTATATAATTAAAGAGAAGTAAATAAAAGTAAATTAATTAAATAATATCTTATAAAGAAGCTTCCTAGAAGTTTCATAAATACAGCTTTGATTTTATACATATTTGTAATTAATTAGTAGGTTAGAAACTTGGTCAATAAGTTAGTCACATGTTGCACGTATTTATAGCTTGTGGAACAAGCTAACTATATAGCATACATATAAAAAACTTACCTTGCAAGTTAAGACATATATTTTTCAATTTGAGCATGTGTTGGAGGTCTTATAGAATATCACTTTATAGCTCCTAGTTAAAGAGTATAAATAGAGGCAAGAGTGAGGCCTTTTTTACTCTTCTCAATGCCTTTCTAGTCTTTAGTCTTATTTCAAGACTTTATAATTTTTTTGTTTTTGGCAATAGCCATTCTAATTCAATATATCACCATCTTTGAGTGGCTTTCTAATCTTTTTGAGTGACAAAAGAGTATATTAAATTTTTCTTTCTTTGAGATTCATATCCTTCACACATATTTGAAGAAAAAATAAGAATATTTTAATTTATAAGTATCCTTGTAATTGAATAATTAATTTTTATAATTATTTTATAAGTATTCTTTTAATTTGCATAAATAATATAAGGTAATTCTAAATTTATAATATGTAAGAAAGCTCTTATTCCTACAAATAAGGATTTCATTATACTAAACTCATGACTTGCTACTTGATTAATAAAATTCTTAATTATACTCTAAAAAATTAAAAAAATATGAAAAATTCAATTTGTTTAGGTATTATATATTTTTTAGCTATAATAAACCTAAAATAATTAGATTGGTTGGAGATCTAATAATATTAAATATTACAAAGCTATTAAATAGAAGTAGCAATTAATACTATTTTTTATAGAAGTAGCAATTAAAAAGCTATTTAATAGCTATTTGTTATTGTATTTGTACCATTGCATTCTTTATTTCAACAAGCTTTGCTATGATAAAATAATATGAAAAAATTATCTAATGTTGTTCTAAACAAGTATAAGAAATGACTTGAAAATAAAAAAAAGAATCTAAGAATATTAATTTAAAAGTAAGTAATTTGGAATTTCTAATATACTTATGTCTTATCAAAAGAAAAGAATAATCTACTCTTAAGTAATAAAAAACAAAGCCTTCATATTATAAGCATATTCTTGTCAATTTATTAAAGATAAGAACTAAAAGAAGATATATAAATAAGTGACATATTTATCAAAGACAGATGAAAAAATAGAAATAAAGAAGTATGTATATTTAAGAAGAAAATAGAATGGATATTGCTAAAGACTAGAAAAACTAGAGATCCTTGAAATTAAACTAGAAGCAAGAAAAGAGTTGACAAGAGTGAAGATGGCTTTATTCTTGCCTTTATATATACTATCTAATTACAAGATATGTGGTGACATTCTATAAGACTTTTGACACATGTCTAACTTGCAAATCATGTATCTAATTAATATGATAAGCTTCTTACATGTGCGCCACATGTCCAACTTGTACTATGAGTGACCAACATATACAACATGTGATCAACTTGTTAGCCAAGTTTTCAACTTATTATTTATCTATAGACATGTATAAAGACAAAGCCACATTATAAAGCTTCTAATAAAATTTCCATCAATATATTATCAAATTTATCTACTTTTATATATTTCTATCTACTTATATTATTTAAAAAATGATTGGAATAGTATCCATCTCCTTCCCCCTGCCCCCCCCCCTCTCTCTCTTTTTATCCCCTTCCTCCTTCCTTCTTTTGTAATTCTTTCTAAAGACCCTACATCCTAAATGAATGAATGAACATACTTATTTGTGTTCATGGATGATGTTGTGTCTTGCTAGTTGCGTTGTATGGAGTAGAGGGATGGAAGTGGATGCCATCACAACAAATAATCTTTGTCCTTGACTCCCCTCTTGTCCACACTCGGTGATTCTTATGGACTCCATCATCTATGTAGGATTAATGGAATTCATTTTGTTTGACAGGCTTTTAATGAAGAAAGGTTTCTCCCACCAAAACTTCTTGGAAGGTCCAATCCGTGTATCATGATGTATAGCAAAATACAATTTTCAGATTTTGTGTTGTGTTTCTACATAAAGTTTACTTTGATCGCACTTCACAACCTTGTGGTGAAATTTTAGTTTGGTATTGCAATAAATGTCTAAAATAATTGTTTGCATATAATGTTATTACTATTCAAAGATACTAATATTGATATTTATCTTAACTAATTAGTTTGATGTCCATTCCAGGCTTCATATAAACAAATCTAAAAGAAATTTTAATTAAAAGAATGTAATTAAACATGTTATATCAACAACTAGTTTTTGTATGAAAGTTTAAGGTATGAATTTAAATTATTAAGATTTTTTTGGCATTAAAAAAATTCTTTTGTAAGTACATATCATTCATTTGAGGATTAAGATTTCAAAAAATACAAATTTTAAATAATAAACTTCTGTCTCGAATTATTTGCACAATTTCTGTAAAAACTTATGAAAAAATATGATGCCACAAGAAAGAAAAAAAAGAAAAAAATGTACTAGCAAACTATTGAAATATGTCAAAAAAACAAATCCAAATTTACATGTTTGTCAAAATCAAATTAACATAGATTTGACATGTACATAAACTTATATTGTTATGTAACAAACATATATGTCATATCTATTGTATTTTTTAGTTGCGACTAAAACTACAAATAGAATCACAGGGGAAATGCTCAATCAGCTCACAATAATTACAATTTCATCAGTATATCAATCAGATTTGATTTCATCAATTTTTTTCATTAATTTGTGTGGTTTTCATGTAATATGTTTTAAAATAAAGTCAATGTAACTATAAAAAAGATTTTATATTATTTTTGATATTTAAAAACATGATACACATGTTTTGCAAATTATACAGAAGCATAGTTTAGCTAAAAATATTTTTGACATAGTTGAATGAAATGTGAAGAAAAAAGAAAAGAAAAGGTTTACTGAATTATTTGTGAAGGAATTAATGAATGAAAGAGGGGTAGCTTGGGAAAAAAATGAAAAAAATGAAGTGGACAAACAAAAATAAGTTAATGGTAATAAGTTTCATATGTTGTGCGGAAGCTTAATGTTGGCTCATACATACATACATACATACATACATACAAAAAAAAAAAAAAAAAAAAAAAAAAAGTCTTTAAAAGACTTTAACTTTGAATACCAAGATGAACATGTACTTCAATTGTGTCCATATCAAGGTGGTGTAAGTTGATCCATACTTTTGTAAACGCATTTCATCTCATTAACAAATCAATTGAGGACAGATGGCTACATGCTCACGAAAAATTATATACAGAACACTATACCATGTCCAATCAACATTTTGTGAACTCCACAACTCAGACAATGATCATTGTGATATTGAAGAGTCTAAATGAAACAATATCATTTTGAGAAGTATGGGACAAGTGAATTAATTGTTTGATGAATGCTCCTATTTATGGGAAAGGAAATTTGATACCCTATTCTCATGCTCAGTGCCCATTAGCCTCATTTCACCCGACTACCAGTCAATTTCGTAATGACATTGAAAGTTAATCCACGAATCTTAACAAGATTTAAGACACAGCTTTACAGAGATTGGCCGTACCTGCTGTACAACATCTTTCAGAGCTCTTGATATAATCTGCAAGATGAATAACTGCATAACAGTGTCTCTAAGGTTGATTCAGACCACTTGAGCGCTTCCGCTCTCATGATCAGCTTCTCTCATCACTTGGTCTTTTTCGGCTTCGAAGTACTACACATGCAAATTCATCACGAGGCATACGTCAGTTTAAAACAATTGAACTACTAACGATTGATCTGCAATTCTTGATCTACTAGCAAGCAGAAATTAGATAAATTACAGTTTCAAAAGTTTGGATAACTTTAGTTTCTTCAGAACAAGGTTTTAACAGACAAATAAAACGAACTGTAAACCTCTTGACACTTATTTCATCTTCAATATCTGGAAGTGGCATCTTCCAGTAATTCCAAGAATTGAAATCCTCCTGCAATTGCCAAACGTAGCGTTATGATGGAATGATGCAAAGTGGTTGCAGAGCTGAAATAGAAGCTATTAATCTTTTGAAATATTAAACTCGCTTCATGTGCAGTGCAAAACTACCACCAAAGAAAATGAGATAAAATCCTGTGCACAAAATTCTGAGTTAAAATAAAGCACGTAGGAAAAATATGAGTTCTGAGCATATACCTGTTCTGTGCAACTCTGAGGAGGAAACATATCATCAACAAGTTTGTGCAAAGAAGTATATGACTTGACGTCCACTCTATTGTTTACAGCAACTTCTCCCTGTACAATACAACTTCAAAATCATGACCAATTGCAGATATAAATTCTATATCCAAGAAACGGAAGAGACCAACCAGCCCGAAAACTTTGACGACAAAGATTATATTCATGCACACATGTGACTAGACAACTACAAAATTCTGTTCACACAAACTACATTGTGTTCAATGTCTTCTAAGATGAGACCTCACACATATAGGACACTTTCAAACTAAACAAAATAAGCTACAGAATCATATTATTTGATAGTTTCATGCAAACTTGAAACAAACGGACACCGAAAATGTCAAGCACTTTACAAAACAGATCAAGGATACACATTCGACTCATCTTCTATATAATCTACTTAAAGCATAAGCCACCTAGATTCAAATACTACATATGGCAAAATAATTACCTTGGGATTAATAATGAATATTTTGCCTTTAGGGATACCAACTTTGAGATAACTAATTTCATCAGTATCACGATTCCCAAATCCAGCGTAGAAGGGGTTACAATCTTTAGGGAAGAGATCTCGGATATCCTGCATAAAAAGCCATTGTTTATCACGCGTCAGAAGGTCACACCAGGTATCTTGCACAAGGTCTGAAATAAAGAGACCTAAAGGATCACAGTACTAAAGATGCACAATGGAATTTATGTTATCCAGAGGTACACCTGGAGACAGGCAATCTTAAATTCGTGAGGGGCCCTTCGAATAACTGCAAAACCAATTACACGCTAATCAAACCCTGTTCCAGGAATTCAATCAACCAACAGAATGGATCGTACCTTAACAGCTCGTTAGCAAGTATGTCAAAAGAATGAACATGTACCTTGCACTGAGTCAACATCACAAAAACAATAGTATTTCAGAATAGGTCACATACTAACCTTCGCGATAAAGAGAGGGAAAGAGTCCATCAGGAGAAATAACAACTGGTCCATCTGGAAGTGCTTCACCATCCTGCAATAACAGAAATTGTGATGAAATTATAATATTCAAGACCTCTTTACAACAAGTAGCTATAGACATAGGTCAAGGTGGAAAGTTGACCTCCAAATCACTCTACATGAAAACAAGAAAATTTCTTCAGAATCAGTCTAAAGTCGGCTGTTTTGAATTATTATTTTAAAACAAATAGCGCACCTGCTTTAAGTTAACTAGAAACTGGCGCGTCAAATATGCCTGAGAGATTGCCCGTGCGCTCAAAAACATCACTTCGTAGCCATTTTCCTAATGAAAATCAGCATACGGTCAGCTATCGTGGCAGAAATATCATTCAGAAAGCGAACATCAGGCAGCAGAACGCAATCCTTCAAACAAGGATTTTCGGAATTAGAAAAGCAATACATACATACAGGAATAAGTCCTATTTAAGGGCGGCGGTTTTAGATTATAAAAATATTCATGATATACTTCCAGGTGTGAAATACGAATCAGCAACAGGAGAGCACCTTAATAGCAGAAAAAAGGCGGGTAACTCCTGATTGCGTCCAATCCCTCCCCACTAAGGGCATCACCTGTCCCAGAACGTCTGACCTACGGCACAACCACAAATTTACATTTTCCAACTTCGACAGAGTAAACATCAAGTGATACATCTACAACAAATTGAGTAGCCACAAAATAACGAAAACTGTAGCAGATATCCATAACGTACGACTCGAACAAGTTGCTAGCAACCTTCAGGTACATACTAGCATGGTGATAGCTTTGCGTGAATCAAGACCACCTGGAAAACACAATTTACAGAATTCTTCAACTATCAACCACCATTAAATCAAGATGCATGCTTATATCTATAACTAAACATATATGACATGATAGAAACTGCAAAACATAATATCGAGAATAAAATGTACTTTGTGATTGTGCCATCCACGTCTGAAATAACAACACGTGTGTTCCACTTCCACAAGTAGATACGGGCATCCACCTGTGCCACATATTAGAACATAACTTTCCAGTTCAGTTACATCACGTACTGTAAAGCAGTAAAATATTCTAGAATTGTGCCAAGTCCAGGAATCAAATATTGAATTGATCACACCCAAAGCCAATATTGAAGGACGCTCAAGGGAAAGAGTAGGCTCAAAGAAGGGATGTGGTGTTAAATCATCAAACCAGATACCCGCTCCTTGTCAACTCTTGACACATTCTTAGTATTGAATATAGCCACATAACTCTACATGATTTGATACAGGTGAAGATGTTCTTCATCGGTAACTTTTCCTAATGAAATGAATGCGACAAACCTGTTGTTTACCAAGCACTCGTGTTTGGAATGTGAACGTGATGAGGTTACTCCCTTCCTTAAGGTTCATTTCCGCAAGCATTTGTGAAGTGGGCAAAAAAGACCGAATTTTATTCTTCCTCGAGCGAAGATAGAAGTCGTTCTGTGAAACCAGGTTATTCACGATTGCAGTGTCAACTCCTACTTTTGCAGCTACCAGCAACGCTTTCTGAGACATTACAGGCGTGGATACGTTGGACACAGGTATTTTAGAGCGTCGCAAGGGAAATGGCCAGAGTTTCCATCCACCATTTTCTGCAGTTAGCAATGCACCTGCCTCTTTTTTTTTGGAAGAAGGATCAGCTTTTTCCACTTGAGTATTACCCTGTGCCTCAGCTGGAACAATTTCATCAGAGGCCAGCATACTCGGGACTAAAGGCTTCTCGACACCATCGTCTTCAAGTATAATAGGCCGTTCTTGAGTTTGATCGTCCAGTGATGTCAATGGAGGTGGACTGCCACATCTAGGTGTGTGAAGAACAACAACTCCATCTGCACTAGCGATCATAAGAGTTGAAAGTTCAGGCGAATTGTCCCCAATGCCACTTGTCCTCAAATCTGATTCACCTGTTCTTCCTTTCTCGCTAGTTTCTAGTAGTCTCAATTCTGATTCGCTTTTTATTCTTCTTACACGCACCGGTTCATCTGCGGTGAACTCGAAACCCATATTTAAAGACTTTGATTTTCTACGCCGAAAGCCTTCAGTAGCGTCTCCTCTAATATCTAACATTTCAAATGAATTCCCTGTTCCGTTTCCAAGGCCTTCGGATGAATCCTCACCACCTGATTCCAAGGCAGCCTTAGCAACTGCAGTAAAAGCAGCCTGAGCAATAAGTGTACTAGAAGGACGCCCTGGTTTCTGCGCTTCTTCAATCCTCACGGCCTGATTAAGAAGTGCATGAATAGCAGATCCAACAGGTTCATTTCCCAACTCTTCAACAGAAGTATTGACCTTATTTCTCAACTTCAAGGCTGCTAATGAAGAAAGTAGATCATCTGAGGTTTCTCCCGTAGCTCCTAACTCCTTGAGTGCAGTACTCTCCGGCACTTCAGTCTCAACTAGAACGTCAAAACTATCTTTCAGAATTATATTGTCTGAAAGCTCAGAATCCTCCACAACTTCTGTGTTCTTAAGTGTACTGATCTCCAGATGTTGAATTTCCCCTACTATGCCTGCGGCGTCAAGTCTACGACCCTCCGAAATCTCATCTTTCCCTGTCGTATCTGTGCCCTTAAGTTTACAATCCTCCAAAAGGTTATCATTCTTGAAAAGATCGGTGTCCTCCCCGAGTGAGCTGCTCTCCAATGGTATAACAGGGTAGTTGGCTTCTTTGTTTTTAGCTTCTTCAGCAGCTCGAGCCTGCCAATTTGGTATACCAATTAGGATTTACAAACGGAATCATACTGCCTCGGAAAGAGAATCATTTTAAAAAGGAAAAGAAAAGGCAGAGACAGTGACAAGAGACGCACGATTCCAGCATAAGGAATCATTGAATTGCCTCGATCAAGCGAAGAAAGAGGTGCCGATACCATTTAGAAAGCGTGCTCTTATAAATGGAGACAACTCTTTTCCTGAACTAACCTGTAAACTACCATCGTTCTAATATAGAAAACCCATTCCCCTGCGTAACGTAGAAAGCAAGTATGTAGATTGGAATGACCAACAGTCGAAGCCATGGGACAACCCTATTAATTCTGTTATTCATTTTTATCTTACGACCTCCACATGTGAAGATAATGAATCGCTTAATCGGTTAGTTTCGTGTTCGAGGAACGTACACACGCTAAAGATAATTGCCTCATTCCAACCTGCAAGAAGTGGGACTTGTTTCTCAGTCCTTTCATTCATTACGTTGATCCTGCAGTAAATTATGTTTATTTCAATATGAAGGTCTTCGCAAAATGATTGCTTCTCTGTTACTACTCACAAACATATGAACAGCATTTAGGTTACGTATGTTTGTTAAACTGAGGACTTGAACAATCCGTGTCAAATTTACTGGAGACTGTTAGGACAATGGGCTCAAGGATTGCTCCTACCACTCTCAGCAAAGTCCGATTTGCTGACAGTCAACAGTTCAGCCACCACACACCTGCTGCACAAGTAGATAGGATGCTTTCCTCCCTTCAAACCTCAGTTCCAAATTGCTATCCTTCTCGTCGCTGCTCTCCGCTTCCTCCACATCTTCTTTCGCGTCCGCGAATTCTTCCTTGTTTTCAAATCCAACATCCAACTTGCTAGGGCCAGCCTCGATAGTTAAAACTTCATCACCGGCTGTAATTGCCAGTTGTGACGATGACGAATCCTTGTCAGGCTCTGAGTCTTTCAGAAAATAAGCTTCTCCTGCCCAACGATCACAAGTTCAATTAATTCCAATCGCTAAGTAATCAACATGCAATAAATTCCCATTGCTAATCAACCAATCGCAGCAACTGGTGGAGCTATAAGACCTAGAAAGCAAGTGTAGAGGATCTACCTGTGGAGTCCAAATACATGTGGAACTTGACGGCCTTATCATTGACGGCAATACCTACAACTTTTTCGCTCCGCTTCAGAACGCCCTGAAATTTCCCAAACTTGACATACCAGGGAGAACTCTTATACGATCCATCCTGCTGCTGTACAACTACAATATCAACAGCGCCTCCAAAGGGGTGAAATGGCCCCGCAACGGTGTACACTCCTTGCGAGAGGAATCTGCCCACTGCATACATGTTGGACCTCCTCGCCAAGGCTAACCTAAACATTCCACCACAATACTCCCCTTCGACTTCTTCCCATCCTTGGCTCCTGCCTCACGATTGCCCTCGACTCTGCTCCGCTCTTGTTCCCCACTACCCTCGTGATGCTCGCCTTGATTACACCCAAGAATGCTACTAATCCAATACGATTGTCCAACTTGAATGCATCCTCTGAACTTTACAACATATAAACACCCTCACTCCAGTTTCCCTCCACATCAGTCAATCACTGGGCAAGTCACAAATCCTCAAACGTGATGGAAACCTAAGTCAATCCATTGTCCCATGCCACTTTCGGACGCTAAACTCCAAAGCCTCTGTCACGATCTGACGCGTCCCACTTCCACGAAACCTAACTCACCAATACGCAATCGTCCATAAAACTCAAAGTAGTAGACAAGGAAAAGTTGCATCAAAAGAGTTAATCATGGCGTGCAACGGCATCATCTGCATGCAAATCCAACGTTACAGCACGGGAAACAAACCGTGGGCGCCGTGCAACCACCCAAGCGCATCCTTGGAAGGGGAATTAAGGGAGAGTCACCCCAACGTCGCCAAAGGTCCAATGCACCCTGCAATCGAGAGTGCACGACACCTATCACCCACAGCGCCTGAAGAAGCCCAGCAATCCCTGAGATCATAGTTTCCCTGGAGGAAAAGCGTGATTGGTATTGACGCCCTAAGAAATATTCCTACGAATATGTCCGGGTATGTTTGAGTTCGATCCTTCCATCCAATACATCTCCGGGTATTACTGCTCTTGACATATTTTCAAGCGAATGCTGACGACACAAGATTCAGGCTCCAAGGATTCCTGCCTGTGTGGATCGTTAGCAGCTTTGGAAATGCTGCCCAAGCTCGTCATCGCGACGTGGCTGGAAGGCAAAGGAAGGTCTATCTTAGTTCACTTGCAGGTGAGTTCTTATTTGCCGCTCAAGGTTGTGTATGATTGCATTTCTATTACAGGAATTTGTGTGGCTTTGCTGACTCTTCAAGGGACCGAACGCTGAGCTGGTCCTGTTTGCACTCCGCCATTTTTCTGTCATGCGAGCGGGAAGCATTGGTAGGACAAGCAAGAGATTACTGATATACATGGTTTTGAAACGGATTTGGGAATGTGATTTTGATTTGAATGGTGTTTTCCCGTGATAAACTCGCGCCTGACAGAACAAACTCTTCTTAAGAAAATATTTAAACTACGCATTGCTGATGATATTGTAATTCTTAAGGTACTCAGTAGCTCAATTCCGCTGGCACCATGGTTGGGTTGCATCGTACCTACAGCATTCTGAAGTGGCGACACGATGGGTTTGGTCTGCCGGTAGATGTTCGGGACTCTTAGATGTTTGTTTTGGTTCGGTTACAATGTCGCATGGTTGGCGCTGCTCGGCAGTTGTGGTTGATGAGAAAGCCGCGAGGATTGAGGTGTTCTGGCCTTTTGCTGTTCAGTCGACGAATTTATTCCTTAGGCTGAAAAGTGCGTAAATGGGAATCGAAGCTTTGAGGAGTTGTGCTTAGAAGAAGAATATCGATATGTGTTTTTTATATGTGTTGCAGAATGCCGAAGCTTTCCTCGTACCGGCGCTTCCTGTAAAACATCGAGATGTCATTGTCGTAAAAGTCGAAGAATTTTTCTGGCGTAGAGTGCCAACTGTTTGGTCCTCCATCTGCCCTTGTTTTCTAATACTTCCAAATTGAAGTGATGGTTTTGTACCCTATTTGTTGTCAGTTAGCATATTTTTGAAAGCTTCGCTGTAGAGAATTGCACTGAATGTAAATACGGGATTAAATGTCTACGTCTCCATCTCTTTATGGTCTGATGTGATGCAGGAAACATTTCTGTTTTCATTAAGGCCTTTTTTTCCTGAACCCATGAACACATGTACAAGATATTCTGGCAGAGTACGGAACCATCAATGTTGTTTTTGATGCATTGGACTTTCAATCAGATTCTTGAAAATGACAATCAATTCTCAAGTACGGTTTGTATAATATCAGGTGGGACTGCGGTCTCTCTTGAGAGGATGTGGGTTCGTTTCATCGATAAATTTAGCTCCGGACATGAGGACGCTGCCTTGACAGAGTAAGTCTTAGTCATGACTTTGTGTTGCCGTTTCAATCCCACTTCTTAACTTACGTTGTATCTCAGCATGTGTTTCTTCCCCTGAGAAATCCTGACTTTTCCTCTTGCTATGTCTGTTCATGATGTAGCTCGTTACCAGGGTACTTTGAGGCGTCATAGCAATTCGGCTCAACTTGCAGGCTCTTAGTTATCTAGTGATCTTAGCACTGTGAAAGTAGAGCACAAGTGAGAAGTAGACATTGAAAGTCTGTTTTCTTTCTGCCGTTTACCTCTTGCCTGCAAGGTATAGGTGAGGACTAGGTCCAGTTATCGAATGTACCTGATGCAGATACTTGCTGAGGGCTGGCTATGCAACGACATTCATTGATCTAAAATTAGTTGATCTTTTGTTATCAACATGGGCAGTCACTTTTCAGTTGCATCTGTTTGTTCAACGTTGAATTACGTCTTCAGATTGGCAATATTTCTATCGCTGCTGTTCCGTAACGTATTACAAAGAGATCCATGGATGTTCCACAAGGTACGACGGATGCTCTAATTGAGTAGCTCAGTTTTGACTCATGTTCCAGAAAGAAATAGCTATCCTTTGGGCAACAGTATGATTTTTGAAGCAAATGATACGATGCGTCTACGAAGTTGCGACTACTAAGTGACACCTTGGCTACTTTTTCTACACATCTTTCATAGGATCAGTGCAGACTTTACGCCGATTTCTGCCTGAAGCTCCACTGTTGTAAACGAGCTGGCAACAAAAACACACATTGTATACAGCGATTGCCAGTGTCCTATGATATTTGCAAATGATAAGACAATCTAGACCTCGCATAATTATTCGCCGATTCGGTAAGAACAGAATATATCTGTATTATACAAGAACCTTGAGTCATTTGTGTGCTTCACTGTCTGCAGTTGTTACAAGTTCTGTAGTCGCAGTACAAGAGGCTATCGCCGTTGGTGCTATTTTCTTATTCTTCGTTGCGCAGGACGCTATCTGGAATGTCATGGATGACATGCGGGGTGATTGTTTTGATATTTTCATCTTTGAGGAGCTAAGACCGAGAGATGATAGATGTCGATTGTTGTGGGATAGATGTCAATGATGTCATCTTATACAACAATATAATACATATTAATTTGTCTAGCTGATTTATCAGCTTGCAAAGGTCAAATAGGGCATATTCTCTGCTTTTTGCCGTGCATAACAGATACCTTGAGGTAGGCTAGAAATAAAATTAGTAATGCTTGAACTGTATATTAGGTTTTAATTCATAACCTTGGTCCTTAGTGCAATTGTCTAAGTGGGGCATGCAAAATCTCAATTTTTTGTGGAACGATAATAGTTGGAAACTTTGTTGATGTTAGCATTCTTCAAGTCTTGTGTTCCATGGCATATGACAACATGGTGTAACTATTGCTGAATGCAGACACAACAGACAACACATCTGAGTCCATATGGGAATTCTTAATATTAAACAAAGAATACAACTATTTAAAAAAGTGCCTTAAAATAGAAAAAGGCACTTTTTTAAATAGTTGTATTCTTTGTTTTTCTATTCCCAGGTTCTACACAAATGCATTCAAATAGTGTTCAAGAAATTTTAGGAAGAATATAGAAACAATTGTTTTTAAAAAATATTATGTATATATATATATATATATATATATGCTTTTAACTTTCAGTAATTTTTCAAATATATCTAATTCTAAGTTTACATCTAGGTTGAACTTCATGTGAAAAAAGTTCAAAAATTGCATAGTGTTAAAAAAAAAACTATATCTCTTTGGTTTTAAATAATATTCAGAAAAAAAAATTATTAAAATAAACAAGTTTAACTTACCATATTTTAAGTGCTTTGCTTTAAATGTTGTTTTGACTTATTTAAATTTTATAAAGTTATATATTTTTTAAAATAAGATGCTTTTTTATATTATATTCAGATTATAATGTAAATGATTCAAAATTAAATGAACATGTCTTACATTCTTAGATAATCGTATTTTTAATTAAATTAAATTTATAAATTGGATTATTTTAATATTGAGTCACAATTTTTTTTTAATATCTACAATTTTTGAAACAACCATAGTTTAATGAATTTAGTATTTTCAATAAACATGTGAAATAAGTCTTTTCATGTTATAAATAAAATATTAGCAATCACATACTTATTGTAATGATATATGCACCTATTTTAGTAATTGTTATTAATTTGATGATTTAGATCATGTTTTTAAAAGTTACATCTATGTGTAATAAAATGTATTAAAATTTTGATAATTTAAAATAATGAAACCTGAAATTATTCAAGAATTTTATAATTATTTTTAAAAATCAACAAAACTAATGTCTATAAATATATTTGTATTTCAATTATTAATTTATAGTTAAATATAACTTTTTGAACTGTTCTAATTTTTAAAAAACATTCTTTTTTATATAAACATCATCAATAATAATAAGTACTTATTTTTATAATCATTACTTCTGTTTATATAAGTAAATAATGGAAGTATTTTCAAGCCTTAAAAATACTTCTATTATTTACATTTTAAGCCTTACAAATACTTCTATACATATGTTAATTTTGTTTATTTTATGTAAATTTAAAAAATATATGCAGGTATTATATCAAATAATATTTAAAAAAAATAGTTTTAAATTTGATGTTTGTACTTCATGAACCTAATAAAATTATACAATTAATGTCTTTTTCTGTCTATATATATATATATATATATATATATATACAGATTTAATTGTGTTGTGATGTAATTATCAAAAAATATTTTAATTAAAATATTGGATTTTTTTATTTATGTAATCGACTTCTAAATCTTCTCTTCTCCCTCCCCCCCTTTTTTTGTTTTTTGTTTTTTTGTTTTTTCTTTTTTGTTTTTTGTTTTTTTTGTTTGTAATCTAACCTAACATTCCTTCTAAATCATTGGTGTCTGTGATTTTGTTTCTTGACTTTGAATTTATGCACAGTTGGTATACTTCATTAGGATATTTATTATTTGTAACACCGTAAAAAGTATTCAATATTCTAAATAAATATATCTTTAAAAATAATCTATTACAACTAAATCGTGTATTGAAATTATTTTATCACATATGCAAATATATATATATATATATATATATATATATATTCACACACTAGCATTTGAGTTCCTTTTTTTGCTTTGAAATAATTTGATAGAGTAATGGAGCTCTAAATGTTTACAAAGAAGGTAGAAATCAATTGCTACAAGAGTTTGTTCTTTAAAATAACATCACAACAACAAATTAAAGTGAAAATAAAATAAAATAAAAAATAAAGAAATCATGTATATCTCTTACAAAATGGACAACATATAATTTAATTGAAAATTCTAGTATGTAGGTGTTGGTATCAGCTGTGGATATTGAGCCTCTTTATACCGTTTTCCATTTATTGAGACACTTAAATGTAACATAAATTGGTTAATGTTTCTAGATGAACTCACAAATGATTGGAGGCATGAAAAGATACAATGTCTTTTGGATGGATGCACATAGACATTTAAGCAAATAGACACCATTGTCTTTAGTAATTAAGATATACACTTATCTATATTGAAACCAAAACATATCATTTATATTAAATAATAGTAAAAGAAAAATTATAATCAATATATGTTATTATGAAACAAATGATAAACTATACTTATATTGAATGAAGAATATAATGTTTTCAAAGTATGAAGATCTTTTGTTACCAAGCAATGGAGACAATGTCTTCCTTGAAGCAAAATTTATCAAGAGGTTTGAAAAAAATTAAAATTAGTGTATGTGTACAAAATCATACACAGGATTTGATTTTGCTAGTAGCATCCAACATAAATAATTTGTAGCAGAAAATTTTGATGGGTCGAATACTAATTGTAAATTTAGAGCATCGGCCAGAGAAGCATGCGGATATTCAATCCATCATTTGTGAATATTTATTTTTCTGAATACAAATGAGATGATGCATTTGGCACACGTGTAAAGCCAATCACCTACTCTACCTTTTATTATGCACATGCACTAGTATATTTTGAACAAATAAAATTGATTACTTTCCTAGAATGGAAATTTAAATTTGTTCGTCAGTAATAAAATCAAATGCGTTTAATAATTTACTAACATAGATTCAATCTAGGAGCCAGAAAGGGCCACAAAAGTTGCTTATAAAGTTGATGCCAAATCAACTCGTTAAAAATTTCTCCTTAATTTAAGCCTTTCACAACGTGTTTAGTACTACCGATGAATCACTTGGTAGAAATCACCTCAAGTCCAAATTGACTTTATAAAGAGAATCAAATCAACTTTGAAGAACCACTGAACTACTTATCTTTACATCGATTCATTTAGTAACATATCAACCAAAATATTTTACACAAACTAGCTAACAACTACAACTCACTGGCACTGGTAGTCTGAACTCACTCCAATAACAGAAAGCATGCTTTTGCACACAAGTCAGTACGAATTAGTTGTGCTCAGATAAATTTTAAAGCACATTTTGGATTCATTAAAAGAAGATAGTTCTATTCAAGCTCATTGTGATAAGCTTTTAAGGAGCACCAGGAAGTGAGAGCTACAGGTTTTGCACTATCTCCAGCCTTTTCAACCAAAATTAATGAAAAGCACAGGTGACTGGAAATTCCACCTCACCACTACGTCGATGGGCTACCGCTTAGTAAACACTGCACCTCGAAATACAATACGTGTCCACTGCTATTTAAAGCCCTGAACCTCAGAAGGGTTAACGAAGGAAACATATTGAAGTCAGACATCCACATGAAGATTTAAGGTGACAACCACAGACGAAACATGGGCTCAGCAAATTCCGAAATTTGAGGTACGGTCATTGAATAATCCTCATTAATATCATCAAACAATTACAGATTAAGATTGAGCCTTGGCAGCCAATTTCTCCTTACTCTTCTGGATCTTGAGGACCTTCTTTACAATTTTCTGCTCCTCGACCAGAAAAGCCCGGATAATGCTGCGTCACACAACTTAAATCCTTAGCCAAACATATCACTACAAATAATGCCGACGTACCTACTGGCCAGCGACGACTTAGCCTGACTTCTAACGATTTTGAAAACAATTTAATCAAATGTACTCATAGCCCACAAGTACGCACGATAGCAACCACTAGTACCAATTAAATCGCTAGATTTAATAAGTTTACTATGAAGAAGGAAAATAAAACACAAGACATAGCAATGGAAAGGCATTCAACCAATACGAAGTTAGACTAATCACATTAACTAGACAACTTCAATCTACAGATGAGTGTGCATGTAATCTTTCTCAGAACAAATGAAATGCTGGACATACCGCTCGCGCACTGCAGAACCAGCCATGGTGCCTCCGTAAGCCCGGTTCACAGTCTTCCTGTGCCTGTGAAGGCGAGATGTCTTGTACTCCGTAGGCCTCAAGTGAGGAATCTGTAACGAAGCTTAACTTCAGAAAACGCAAAAAAAAAAAAAAAAAAAAAAAAAAAAAGAAAAGACGCTACCTGATTCGAATCGAAGTTTTGGAAGTAAAACAACATGTCTTCAGTCACGAGATCAAATCCTACGCAATTTCCCATTTAGCAACCAGCGGCCATCCAAGCGCAGGCAACAACTTCACTAATTCTCAAACACAATTGCACCGGATTGACGAACTCACTCCAAATTCAAAACCAAACCTACCCAGCCCGTTGCACCCCAAAAAGACCAGAAAAAAAACACACACCGGTCATAGTACTTACCCCAGCAATGCGCTTTCCAGTGACGGGACACTTGGGTCCTCTCGCCCTCTTCGTGGCGGTTTGGAAGACATTCTTGCCACCTACGTACACAACCAGCGAACCCTTCAGCCAATTGCTCTCCACCGATGCGTCGCAACAAGTACAGACTCAGGGGAGAACCTAGGGCAACAATGACCTAAAAGAGTGGCGAGAGCGAGGGGATGAGTGTTTGCACCAGGGGTCTTGACAACACGGGTCTGGTTGGACTTAGTGGCGTAGCAGTGGCGACGCCGATACGTCAATCGCTGCACCATAGTGACGGACCTTGGCTTTTCACCTCAGGCAGGGCGTGGCGATGGCGGAGGAGGACCTCGCAGAGCTGCAAGGGGCGAAGAGAATGAAAACTGTGTCCCCCGTTCTCTCGTTTATGCCAGTCTTCGGCAAACCCTAACTTCATTCATCCACTTCTGGAGACCCGGTACACTGCGCCCCTCCTCCCTTCCATATTCCCCACAAGGATCGACCTCATCTTCTTGTAGTGACATTCTGAGGCTTCAGTCTAATGTTTATTTATTTATTTATTTATCTATTACAATTTTGATTTTACTTGGAACTCCACCTATTAAATGTTTCCAACGGTCAATTTCTATATTTTAAAATATAGGAAATTGTTACTATTCTTTTGTTATCGTTGCTGTGCAAAAATTGAATGGTGTGTGGATCATATATATGTATATATATATATATATATATATATATAAATTCAAATTATATTTCTGTAATTAAAATCAACACCAAATGAAACATACGCTGCATTCACTAGTTATTTTGAATAAAATACAGTTACAGTCAAGAAATAGATGTTGTTTCAATTAAAACTTCAGGTAGTTTGCATTTAAATATGATTATGTATAAGTTTCCACATAATCAAGATTACAATCTATTGTAATTTTATTAATCATAATTCTAAAGCTAAAAAAAATATGAATACATAAAAAATTAGAATTTGTTTTACTAATTGTTAAGAATAATCTAATTATTGTAAAAAAAAATATGTAAAATTTTAATATTAAAAAAATTATACACATAAACCAAATAAAACAAAACATCCTAATTACCAAAAAACAAAACCAACATGAGACTTTACAAAATAATAGTAAATATATAAAATAATTGTGTTTTTTTTGTTTTAATAAAATATTATTTAAAATATAATTATTCTAGAAGAATGTTAAATAGATCCATGATTTTACTAAATAGACCCACCATTAATAAAGAATATGGTAATCATGATGAATATAGTTGGTTTTTATTAGTTGTAGATCCAATACTATGGAAATGAATCCTAAGATTATAATTCTTTTTCATAAATATTGGAATGGATGGGTTGATTTAGGAAAAACTTGGGTCTATTTAGTATTTCCCTTATTCTATTACATGTATTTTATGTCTTTTCAAATGTCTCCATTTGTGCACCAATTAAAAATACAAAGTCAATGCCTTATTTATTTCAATATGGGTATCTACATAAATTCCAATAAAAGGTGTCCAACCCTTATAACCATTTGTTGTACATTTCTTAATGATTTTTCTACATCATATGTAGAATTTCAAAAAATGAGAATATGTAATATAAAAGCATTGAGTAAATTTAATCTTTAGAAATGATTCACATTAATTATTTCTAAAGATTCATAGAAACTAATTATTGAGGCCACAACTTGTGATTTTAATTATACATTTATAATTTGTAGAAAAAAAAATGATTAAAAAGTATTAAAAAAGAAAGAAAGAAAAAGATCTAAATGCAAAATACAAATACCCATTATTAAGATACAAGAATACTTACAAGCTAAGAAAAAACAAGAAAAAAAACCTATCAAGGCCTTAGTTTTGATTGTATTTATAGAACTTCCAAGACTAAGAACTTGTAATTTCAGCTTTTAGTACCTTGTTATCTAAGGTATTAGAAGAATCCTCCTACAAAAACTTTTCAACAAATGATTTTATGCTAAACCAATTAATAAATCTATTAAAAAAAATTATAAAATTTATTAATGTATTTATTCATTATTTTTTTATATATTAGTTTTAAATTAAAAAAATCAAACCTTATAACAACTATTAATATTTAAATCTTTTATTTTAAGATTCTAGAAACTATCTACAAAGATAAAAAAAAAAAAAGAAACAAACAAACAAAAAAAAAAAAAAAAAAAAAAACTAAAGTTTATATTTAAAACATTAATTTTTTTAGCAACATATTATAAAAAATAGATAAGAATTTTTAATTTTAAAAATTTTTATGTGCTTAAAAATCCTTTCTTAATACAATGTCTAGCAATCATTTCAAAGGTGATTTATAGCCCTTTAAATCTAATAATAATAATCAATGCTAAAAAAAATGATTACTTAGAAATTTAATTTGTTTTGGACTTTTGTAAGTATTCTTAAAGTAACTAAAAGATTACTTTAAAATGCATTACCTTCTTTTTTAAGTTGTAATAGAAATATAATATTATTACTTCAAATATAATAAAATTGTAATAAAAGCTTTGATAAACATGATTTGAATTGGTTGAACTAACAAGCTTTTAATTTAAAATTTAATTATAATCTATACTTAACTAAAAAAATATTCTAAATTTTGGATCTTGATCTATTGATTTAAAAAAAATCTAACTTATAATCTTTTAATTGTAAAAAGCATATACTTATGATTGAATAAAATTATAAATTTAAAATTATTTATTTTGATAAAAAACATAATAAATAAATTAGTAGATTTTTTAATAAGCTTTTATAAATTCTATATTTTGATAAGAGAGACTCTATACATAAGAAACATAATGAGAGGCTACAACTTTTAAAGCCCTTTCATTGGTTGAAATTGAAAGGGTCATGAAGTTGACTTGATACTTCAAAAAATTAGTCTAAATGCCATAATTAAAAAGTTGAATTGGAATGCCCTTTTCTCCTACATGATATAAATAATGTTGCCTCTTAAAACTTCTATTAAATCTATTTTATTAGATTATTTATAAAAATATATAAAATAAATCTATGATTTATTTTTTAAATATCAATTATAAAAATATTAATTCTTTTTATACTTTTTATAATTTATATTTTGAAATGATTTAATTTATTTCATAGCCTCTTTGAAGTTTATACTATATCTAAAAGTTAAATCTTCTAAAAGAGAGTTTTTTTTAATCAAATAAAAAATCTTTATAAGCTATTATATGATGGCCTTTCAAAATATAAATAATAAAAATTAGAATTTAGATATAAAGATCCCTTAGAAAATGATATTTGTTGTTTATAGTAACATAAATAAAGGTTTTTTCATAACTTCAAAAAACTTCATTTGTTCTTTCAAATATTTTATAACATTCTTTATTTCTACTATCTCAGCTATTAAGATTGTTAAAATAAACCAAAAAAAAAATAAAAAAATAAAAAAACAAAATAGAAAATATTTATATAATTTTATTTTATTTATAAACTTTCTACAACTTCTAAGATACCATACTTTAAAAAAATATTTAAGATTAATAGCTAAGTGAGAATCAACAATGAATCCATTCTTAGTGTAATATAAGAAGTTTTAAACATTTTCAAAAGTTTAATTTTTATTTCTCATGATATCTTTTAATATATCAAGAACATTAATTTAACAAATAAAATCTTAATACTCTCTTGTATTACTTGAAAAGAATAAATATTCACTTAAAATTAGTATAATATTGAAACTCAAATGACTATTGCGAAAGATAAGAAGAGTAGAGACTCTTAAAACAAGACCAAGAACTAGAAGGATATCACTTTTGCCTCTTTATATACTATGTAGCTAAGAGCTATATAGTGACGTTTTACATATATCTAAGTTGCAAGATATGTATCAAATTTAGAAGACAAAATTTATATGTATGCCACATAACAAACTTTTAATATAAGTAGCCAACAAATACAATATGTGGTCAATTTGTTGCCAAATTTTCAACTTATCAATCACCTAAAATAACATATAAAATCAAACTATATCTATAAAGCTTCTAAAATGTTTTTTTATAAGTTAGTATTAAATTTATTTATTTCTACTTACTTTTCTTTAATTACTCTAATCTAATAAATATGTATGTCTATGATACAATGACTAATACAAAATGCCTACACATACTTGATCCAATAAAATCAAATGTTATAAAAAATCTAAGATTGTTCAATTTCTTTATTAATAATAACTCGCACCACCTGACATCAAACTTTCTCCAACAAGTAAGGTTGCTCAACTCCTCTGAGAATGATGTCAATCAAAAATACAAACTTATATCAAATATTCTCAAAGTTATAAGATTGCCCAACTCTTATGACAATGATGTTAAAATATACCACTAATTTATAGCTTAGGTTCTTAAAGCTTTAAATTTCTCTAATTCCTTTGGCAATGATGTCAAATTCTTACACCGTTTCACTTTAAATGTTGTCAAAGATGTAAGGTTACCCAACTCTTTTGGCAATGATGTCAAGTTCTCACACCAACTTATATCAAATTTTGTCAAAGATGTAAGGTTGCCCAACTCCTTCGGCAATGATGTCAAGTTTGTATACACACTTATATCAAAAGTTGTCAAAGATATTAGGTTGCCCAACTCCTTTGGCAATGATGTCAAGTTCGTACACAAACTTATATCAAATGTTGTCAAAGATGTAAGGTTGCCCAACTACTTTGGCAATGATGTCAAGTTCTCACACCAACTTATATCAAATGTTGTCAAAGATATAAGGTTGCCTAATTCCTTGGACAATGATGTTAAGTTTTCACAATAACTTATATCAAATGTTGTCAAAGATGTAAGATTGTCCAACTCCTTAGGCAATGATGTTAAGTTCGTATACATATTTATATCAAATGTTGTCAAAGATGTAAGGTTGCCTAATTCCTTGGGCAATGATGTTAAGTTTTCACAATAACTTATATCAAATGTTATCAAAGATGTAAGGTTGCTTGATTCCTTGGGCAATGATGTTAAGTTTTCACAATAACTTATATCAAATGTTGTCAAAGATATAAGGTTACCCAACTCCTTTGGAAATGATGTCAAATTCTTACACTGTTTCATTTTAAATGTTACCAAAGATATAAGTTTGCCCAACTCTTTTGGCAATGATGTCAAGTTTTCACACCAACTTACATCAAATGTTGTCAAAGATGTAAGATTGCCCAACTCTTTTGGCAACGATGTCAAGTTCATCCATCTACTTATATCAAATATTGTCAAAGATGTAAGTTTGTCCAAATACTTAGGTAATAATGTCAAGTTCGTACACATACTTATATCAAATAGTATCAAAGATGTAAGGTTGTCCAACTCCTTTGGCAATGATGTCAACTTCTTGCA